CTAATGAATTATTTTTGTGATAATCAAGCAGCATTACACATTGCGGTGAATCCAATCTTTCATGAAAGAACGAAACACATTGAGTTGGATTGCCATCTGGTGCGTGACAATATACAAGAAGGGAGTGTTATTACAAAACAAGTTAAGACTGGCTCACAAATTGACATTTTCTACTCTCATTTGTCCAAGATGGGAGTAGAAAACATCTACTCTTCTACTCCCATCTTGAGGAGGGCTATTGAAGTTCAAGAACCTGTTTGATTTGGATAAAAATCTGATTTTAATTTAAGGCAAAGTCAAACAATTAATGTTAACCACATTTTTCATAGGTCTCATTACAATGTACTAAAAAATCTAATTTTAATTTCCACCAAACACCCCCTAAGTTTCTGAGACTTAAAAATTGTTCTTAGATCCATTTAATAAGTACTTTTTTTTAGTAAAAAAAAATTGTTTTAATTGATTTTTATAAGTACTTTTTTTTAGTCAGAAATTTTTTTAAAGGAACTTGATCGAGTGTCGCTTCCTCTGAAAGCTCTTTCGAAAAAAAAAAAATCTTTTAGAAAGTAGATTTCGAATACTAATCAAGATAACTTTATCAGAAAACTCTTATACAAGATGTAAAAATAAAAATCATGTCAAATGAGTCATTGGCTCTTATTTTATATAGATTAAATTTAAGTTTTCAAATTAATTATTGACTTTAACTTAAATCTAAAATTGAATTTTAATATATACCAAATAGAGGCTTACTCTAATTTTAAAATAGAAAAATTTCATATCTAAGAGATTAAATATAATCCATTTCTAAACTAAATAACAATGTTTAAAATTTCAAAAATCGGATATATTAATTAAATATATTAATGTCACAATTCTCGGTCACAAATTAATAAATTAATTGATAACAAATTATTTCTCGGTTACAGATAAATAAATGTATAGGTCACAAAATATTTTTCTGTCACAAACCAAAAACTTTATAAGTCACAATTTATTTATCAATCATAAATAAAAAAATTTATATGTCTCAAATCATAGTTCACAACTTATTTCATTGTCACATATTATTGAATTAATTGGTGACAAGTTTTTTCTCAATCGCAAATTATCAAATTATTTGGTCACGACTTACCAAATTTTAGTCACGATTTCAAATTTAATCACAATCACACCTTCTTTTAGACCACATATTATTTATTTATTACAAATTAACAAATTCATTAGTCACAACACTCAAATAAATGATCACAAATACACTAGGTCCTACTTTGTTGTCGTCATCCTTGCCAACACCACCACCATCACCTCCATTGACAAACTGAAATTAAGCAAACCACTGACAACCAACATAAAAAAATAACCACAAAACTCGAGCTAAGTAGATTATATTGGAGTAGGAAGAAATCACAATAAAAATCCAAAATTGACCACCAATTTTTCTCTAATACTAGTGTCATGTCTGGCCACAAGCGGTCTGCCATCTTAGGCCCACCGTTGGGCAACGCTGTTGTTGCAGCAATAGCAGTGCAATGATAGTGGCCCAACGCTACTTACCGGACTGTGGCTGGGATGTGGTGTGTTAAGGAGACTACTTGAGTGTCAATTTAACTTGTCGACTTGGACTACCTATGACTCGACCTAGGAAAAGCCCATTCGACCCGTACTCGTAGCTCGGGTAAAGCCCCATTTTAGGGCATCAACTCCAGCCCGAGCCAGCCTATAGGCTCGACAAGCCACAAGGGCCGACCGGTGTCACAAGTCATTTTAGACTCATAACAAGTTGAGCCTTAGAAAAAAAAAAAAAAACTACCTGCAAAACTTTAATAGTAAAAGAAAAAATTCAAATGAAAAAAGCTACTTCAAAACAGCTAGAGTCGTTGCCTGTTATTCAAATTCAAATTGAAATTTGAATTTCAAATTTATTAGAAACTGTTTTTTTTTTTTTTTTGCTCTAAATATGAGTTAAATTTTTTAGTTTAATAACGATTTACTTCGATTAGTTTTAACTTACAGTGTTCTAGTTTTAACTTTAATCTTCAATTTCTTTACTCTAATATTAAGCTTCTTTTATTTTAATATTCAGTATCCTTTGTTATAATAGCTAAAGATAAATTTTATTAGTGATGAGATTAATCATTTTAAGGGTAATTCAAGTATTCCAAGCGATTACGATGCATCTCAAAATATTTCAATTGATTTGGAGGATATCGAAAAAAGAAGACGTATTCCAGATTAAAAGGTCGAGAAAAGAATTATCTGATTGTTGGAAACATATGATACTTTAAAAAAAATTGGTATTTAAAATGGAGTTGATATTTGGAAAGCATGTTACAATTATTGTAGCCAAAAACTTAGTTAGAAGTTCAGTTCAAGCACAACACATTTTAATAGACACGTATTAAGGAGATGCAAAATTATATCAGTTGGTCTCGACTCGAAATAGACTGAACTAGTGTTTGGCAATTCTGGTTCTACTCTTTCCACCTTTATATATCCACATGAAAGATTTCATGGAGGAATAACTGCATATATCGTTGCAGCAGAGATGTCGTTTACGATGATAGACTCAATGTACTTTACGCGACTCTTGTAGAATTATCTCCAACCTAGGTATACTTCTTATTATAGAATTACTCTTTGTTCGGATACTATAAAATTATATGACAAAAGAAAATAAGTTGTATCGTTTACCTCTAATTTATGAATCGATAGTAATAAAAAATGTTATATTGCTATTACGACTCATTATATTGATCATCTGTGACTTCCACATAAAGGGATTATTGCATTTAGATGTGTAAAATATCCACATAATGCTGCTAATATATACATGGTTTTAAATGATATTATACAAGAATATGGAAAACAAGAAATGGTTTGAATTTTTACTTTTGATAATACTAGTATGAATAAAAGTGTTATTGATAAATTTATTAATGATCTTAACCCTACATTTGGAAGTTTATTTTTTCATCAACGTTGTGTTGTAGTGGTTACCAATGATTGTGGTGCAGGTAATGTTAGAGGTGGCGGCGACGACGGTTGATTGGGACCAAGAGTATTTAGTGACCAATAAAATTAATTGATTGTGTCCAATAAATTGGCTAATTTTGTAACCGGTAAATAATATTTGATTGAAAAATATGATTGTGACTCACAATTATTAAGTTAATGGTTAAGAAATAACTTGTAATTAATTAATTTGATAACTTGTGACCGTTAAATAAATTTAACTTATTAAATTTGTGATTTGTGTTCGATAAATAAATTATGATTTATAAAATTTTTGATTTTGTGATCGATGAAGAAATTGTAATCTATAAATTTTTTATTTATGATCGAGTAATAATTTATGACTAATTATTTTGATAATAGGTAACTAAAAAATAAATTGTGACATTTAATTATGTAATTGTGACTATAAATTGATTAATTGTAACATTAATATATTTAATTAACAAAATATATTTTTAATCAATTATTTCATAAATAAATTTCAATTAATATATAATTTTTGAAGTTTTGAATCTTATTTTTAATTTTAAAATGGATTTTAATTAATCTATGAAATTTTCCGTTGAGTTAAGCCAAGTAAGCTGATTTAGGCTGTGATAATGAGACCACCAAGCCTATATAATATTTGGGGCCATGTGTTACGTGAAAGGAAAAGCTGAAAAAGGACTGGCCCAGGTTGCTATTACGAGCTTGATTCATACCAGTGCACAAATCCGTTGCAGTAGGGAGCCTGCTAAAACAAAGAGAGTCCTCTCTTATGAAAATAAAAAAAAAACCGTGTTTAGCCCCTTCGTGACAGTTGTACGTCGCTTGTATGGTGACGGTTCCAGGTTTTTGGCCGACGATCTTTCTTTTCGGTGGCAATTTTTGTTCTTCGCTCTTTCTTTTAGTCCGAATCATAATGAACTTTTTCTATGTCCTTAATAACATGACAAAAAATTATATAACAATGTCATGGATGATTCAAAATTTATGATTATCATGACCTCTTGTTCGCTAATTGATTGTTTGAAACTCTCAATTTGATGAGAATAATTATATTTTCGTCGAACCACAAGAAGTAAGATCTATTGAATAATAATTCTAAAGAGGCAATATTCATTTACATACAAATATGAAACAATTCTTGAGTTCATATATGCTTTTGAAATAGGAGATAAAGTAATATATCTTTCGTGTAATACTTGTCAATTACGTATCACGTCATTGTCAAGTACGAGCTCCATTTGTCACATAAATTTTTTGTTACTTTTAACTAATGAAAGTTGATTTATGTGTATATGAAAATAAATTCATGAGTTTACATATGATTTTGAAATAATAACTAAAATTTATTTACCATTCCCATTAATAATACAAAACGTGATGAGCGACATCCATCATCCATTTCAAAAAGTTCAAATAGAGATTCCGTTAGACCATATGACTATCTTACACTGCTTTGCACCTTTGATATTGTTCATTTGGATTTTAAAACCCATTTTTGAAATGAAAAAATGTGAAATAGCGTCATTTTTTTTTAATGAATGAGATTGAAAAAAAAAAAAAAGGAAAAAATTAAGTTTATGAGTAAAATTATTTTATAGGAGAATATATGATTAAAATTTTTTTTTGAAAAAATAAAGGCCAAACGTAGAGAATATAGTTCATGTTTGAGTTTCAATATTTAAAATTCAATTTTCTCAAATTATTTTTTAACTGTGTGTACAAATCCAATTTTTCCTTAGGGTCTATTTGAACCACATTATTTTTTGAGAATGCATTTTGAAATAATATATTGATAAAGAATATGTGATTAAAAAATAAGAAAAAATTTTGAGTTTCCGTATAATATTATTTTATTTAAGAATGTGTGTTTAAAAAAAAAAAAAAAAGGAAGGAAAACATATTTTGAAAAAAAAATGAGGATGAAACAAGGGTTTAAATTTTGAGCCAGCATTTAAAAAAGAAATACTACTTTTTACAAAATTTATTTTGGAAAATAGAAGGGGGGCAAACGGGATATATCTCTAGACTTCCTGCGCGCACATTAGAGAGATTCAATCTACATAGGCTGTCAATATACAGAGGCATATTTACATACGTATGTGCGCGTATGTTTGGAGAGAGTATTCAGTACCCCATTTTGCAACGGGAGAGCAAGTGAAATTTATCTCGTGAATTCTGTTCAGAAAATGGGGTGGACAATCCCTATTAACTTCTTTCTTGGTTCTGAGATTTAGGGTTTGTTCGCTGAAAAAATCTCAAACCCAGAATTATATACGTTGCGTGTTGAAATACATATACGCGTGTGTATAAATTGTCTGTTCAAAAAATTTAGGGTTTTATTTTTAATTTTTTTGCGAAGATTGTATATCGGTGTTGTGTGAACGAAGATGGATGGAAGGAGAATAACAGCGAGTCCGCGGCCATGCTCTGGGCGGCGAGTGGTGGCAAAGAAGCGGCTTCGGAGCTCAGATGGACTTGTTAATTGCGTGAAAAAGCTGCAAAGACGTGAGATTTCGTCAAAGCGCCACCGTGCTTTCCGTATGAGCGATGCTCAGGAGCGGTTCCGCAACATCTGCTTGCAGGTTCGTTTCCAGAAAGTGTTGATGATTTGTTTTGTTCTATTTTTATAATTACCATTTTTTTTCCCAATTGATTTGAGCTATGGAATTGGCTTTAGGAAAAAATCCCATGAATTGAAAGTTTTCTTGGTTGGGTATGTGATGATAGACGTTGTAACTGGCAATTGGGGTTTCTGGTCCTCGAGAAAGGGCTTCTTTTGTTTATAATTTGATGGGAGATTATGAACTTTCCGTTTATCAGCTTAATCTGATATATATTTTTTGAGATAGATGTATATGTCAATATCAGAAATGGATGAGTAGAAATTGGACAGATACTTGTTTATTGGCGTTCCTTGGAGAATACATTGAAGATTTCTTATTGAATATCTTGAAATGTCACAAGGATGAGATCTTTTGGATGATTTGCCTACTGGTGTTTTGATTGTCCATCTAATTGCCAAAAGATTGGTACTTCGGAAATAATTTATTTTCTAAATTCTTGGGTTGAAAAAATATGCTAAGTTTTATATTCTTCGTAATCTTTCTATTTAGTTATGCATTTTTCTTATAGTTGTAAGAACATCTTTTTTAGACTCGTAAAATTCTTCCATCATTGTTTCATTTGTCAAGTATATTACGCCCCCTTGATTGGCCTCCATTAAAATTTTAATACATTTTTCATTTCTCCTTTTTAACCACACATTTTTCAATAAAATAATATGACACGTGAACCAAAAAATTTTCTTCGTTTTTAACCACACATCCTTCCAAAAATCACTGTTCCAAAATATATTATTTCCAAAATCTCAGTATAATGGGGGCCAAACAGGGGCTACAAGTGGCCAGTTGAGTCTTTGTGCTAATGTTTAAAAACACGAATCTGGACTTTGAAAAATAGATTCTGCCAGACTTTTACCAGGTAAGTTTTGACAAAGTTATATGGTGACAAAATATGTATAGAATTTATATATATGTATAATACGCCTCTGTTTGAGCCTCATTTTTCCCATTAGTTTTTCTACAGTACTCATTTTGAACGACATTTTCTTCATTAAAATAATATTACATATATAAAAAAAAAATCCTTCTTTTTAACCATATTTTCCATCAATTTACTATTCCATAATACATTACAAGAAATTAATGGGGCTCAAACAGGACCTAAAGCACATTTTATTTTATGTGCATATTAAAGCATCAAGCTTTTTAAGCCAGCATTTTTTTATGAAACTTGCTGCTGCATCATTACCCTTGTGCGGCATTGCAATTTCACAAATAAGAACTAACAAGATAATATCTGAAGAAAAATGATCATGACATTATTTGACTAGTTTGTTTTGTTCTAGTGAATGAACAGGAACAAAATAACTATCTGATAGGCCTTTTATGGCTATTATTAGTGCAGAAGCCATATCTGTACAAGTTGGAGCCCCATCCACCATTAGAAACGAACCTAAGTCAAACCACTCATCCCACCTACCATATTTCTAACTTCTGCTCTACCTCATCACTGATTATTTTGGGTTTATTTCTTTGGGATGTGTCTAGAGAAGCTCAGAATTTCTTGGAACAAAAAATGAAACCAGAATTGAAGTCGGAGTTTGTGGATTGGATTGTGGCTCGTTGACCAGACAGTGTTATATATATATATATAAATATCAAACTTTCGTACACTTTAATGGATTTGGGTGGGGAACATCTGTACAATTGAGAAGGATACATCACATCTGTTGTCAGGTCTTGAAATGGTCGAGTATCACACTTAATTCAGCAAGGTCATTCTGTTGTATATTTGCTAGCAATTCCAAAGTTTTTTCTGTGTCCAATTTGAGTCACCCTGATTGGACTGAGTCAGCTGAATAATGTGGTGTCACATTTACGAGGTGGCGATAGCTACATATGACATGTCTTATATTATGTGATGTTACTTGCATTGTTAAGATGGTATGACATGCAGCAAACTAGGAATGGCTCTGCTCATTACTTCATACTTCACTTTTCAACGATCCTCTGCCGCTGTATATGATGGCTTACTATGTATATGCTTGGTTCAGGAGGAATATGATACTCATGATCCCAAGGGTCACTTTCCCATGATGTTGCCATTTCTCAAGAAGAGGTCGAAAATTATTGAGATAGTTGCTGCTCATGATATTGTCTTTGCTCTTGCTCAATCTGGTGTTTGTGCAGCATTCTGCCGAGGTAAAATCATAGATGAAATATTGTGTACTTTTTCAAATATTTTCCTATCACTTGTCATCTGAAAGGTGCTAATATTTATTACTTGATCGTTGCAGTGACTAACAAGAGAATATGCTTTCTGAATGTAACTCCTGATGAAGTTATTCGAAGCTTATTTTACAATAAAAATAATGATTCCCTCATCACCGTTTCTGTTTATGCTTCAGATCATTTCAGTTCCTTGAAATGCAGAACCACGGGGATCGAGTAAGAAATTTCATCTTCCATTTTGCACGGTTTCTATTCATTCTCCTATTGTTTCTCTTACTCATATCACATCAGTATCTGTTTCAGATACATACGAAGGGGTAAACAAGATGCCGGTTTTCCTCTCTTTGAAACAGAGTCATTGAAGTGGCCCGGTTTTGTGGAATTTGATGATGTAAATGGGAAGGTTCTTACTTATTCTGCACAAGACAGGTGTGCTATAATTATATAGTAATGTATTTTTTTATATTTCAAAAAGTGCTGCCGTTAGCTAAGCTATTAATCTTCTGGTTGTTTCCAGTATATACAAGGTGTTTGACTTGAAAAACTATATGATGCTGTACTCCATCTCGGATAAAAATGTTCATGAGATTAAAATCAGGTAATACTGCATGTTTATGTTAATCCACATGTGTCTACTTAAATGTATGTATCTGGGAGAATACTTTGAACGCATTGGGATAATAGTCCAAGTATGATAAACCTTTATCTTATGTAATTTGACAAGATTCTTATCATGTCACTCCTGCTCTGCAAAATCATGTAGTTACATTTTATCATTCCAGCATAAGCAACTTATCTAAAGTGCTTTTTTCAATGCTAGGCGGATCATTTCTACAAAATGCTGTATTCCCCGTCTGTGGCAAAGATGAAAATTATATATAAGGCTTCAAATTATTTATTAGTTAGGAAGACATTATGCTGCACGTTTAAATGTTTTTGTAGAAACAATGTAGTCACTCGTCACTATGTTCTTATTCTATGGAAGTATAAATAGGCCTTTCCGAACTGGGTGATGCTAATGTTTATTTTCATGTACTTCTGATTGGAAAAGGTGTGCCTTTGACTACATTTGCGGATACATCTTAATAAGTATTTATTTCTATGAGAGCATATGAAGCTGATGCCTGAAATCGTGGTTGAGCTCATTCATCTTGTCACCTTAGTGTTCCAGAATGTAATGAATATTGCTTGTTGTCTTGAGATATTGAACTGTCAACAAAATCCTTGCCAGTGTACGAAATTATATTTATTTAACCTGTATTTCATACCTGTCCTTTTGGAAACAGTCCAGGAATCATGTTACTGATATTTAACAAAGCTAGTGGCCACGTTCCTCTAAAAATTCTGTCCATTGAGGATGGGACTGTCCTTAAATCCTTCAGCCATCTCCTTCATAGAAACAAGAAGGTGGATTTCATTGAACAATTCAACGAGAAGCTTCTTGTCAAGCAAGAAAATGAGAACCTACAGATTCTTGATGTAAGTTGTTTGCCATCTCGTTTCGCTTTGATAAATCCTGTGGATTCTGACATATTTTCTATGTAGGTTCGCAATTCAGAATTAATAGAAGTGAGCAGAACCGAGTTCATGACCCCATCAGCATTTATATTTTTGTACGAGAACCAGTTATTCCTGACATTCAGAAACCGAACCGTGGCTGTTTGGAACTTCCGAGGGGAGCTTGTGACTTCATTTGAGGATCACCTTTTATGGCATCCAGATTGCAATACGAACAACATATACATAACAAGTGATCAGGACCTTATCATTTCGTATTGCAAAGCTGATTCTGATGATCCACTGTCAGAAGGAAACGGTATGTTCTTAAGGAAAGTCAATACTTTGGATAAAAAGATTTGTATAACCAAATGAGTTTATTATTCTACCAAAGTGCATTACTTTCGAATATTTCAGCTGAAATATAGATTCTCTTTGACAAATTGGATATTGCTTTAGTTTTTATCTTCATCTAAATTTTTTCACCATTGCTGCAGCTGGTTCGATCAATATCAGCAATATCTTGACAGGGAAGTGCCTTGCAAAAATAAAAGCAACCAATGGTTCTCTCATGGATGATTGCAGCAGAAGTGCGAGTTGTGGGGGCAAAATTTGCAACTCGAGGAAGCATGTACAAGCTTCTAGAATAAGGAGCACTGTTACAGATGCTTTGGAAGACATCACTGCTCTCTTCTACGATGAAGATCGCAACGAGATATACACTGGCAATCGGTTCGGCCTTGTCCATGTATGGGCTAACTGAAGTTGTTTGTTGTCTCGTTTCCATATGCACAAGTAAATACCACTGAATTTGTTCACTAGTTCCTCCTTCCATGGCATTTTTATGCCTTGTATCCATCCCACTTGCATGTTATACCTTTCAAGTCTTTATCAAATTGGCCTATCAGGCAGTAGCCGAGAGACTCGGATGTTAGAGCATTTTATTTTGTAGACGTGGCTCTTAAGTAAACTTTAGTGAGCCGCTGGTTTTTGCATTTGCGTTTTAAGCGGGTTGATGTATTTGTGATGGATGAATTTGAATTGTAACAGTTTTTCTGGTTGCATTGTAAATTGCTTGCCCATGTTGCCTTCTGGTTGCTTGTTTTTGGTAGATTATTTAAATATAAGATTCAAGGAAAATTATAGCTAGAGAACAACGAAGTAAAAAAGTATATTTTAATTGAATTATACATTTTAATTTATCCATGTTGAAAACCGAATTCACTAAAATTTTTACTGGAACCTAATCGATTAAGCCGGCATTTTTATATGGAGTTGAAATTGCGTTTAATCGAACTTTTAAAGTTTCCATAGATATTCAAAATTTGGAAACACATCTATAGATCAAAAAAATAATTAGTTCTTGTTTGGTTGTGATTAAAATTTAGTACTTAACCCTTGTTTGATTCTCATTCTCTTCGAACTTATTTTCTTCTATAAAATCATTTTAATCACATTTACACAGTAAAATAGTTTGTATGTAAATTAAAAAAAAAAAAAATTTCATTACCTTTTAACCATACATTCTCTGAAAACACTAATCAAATTTATTTATTTATTTTTTCTTTTCCTTTCCAAAGAATGGCCACCAAATAAGGGATATAAAAGTAATGACCCTACAATATACCAAATAATTTTGGGAGGACTTATATGTTTTATTATAAATTTTAAAATTATTTATCATTTCAAGTTATAAGTTTTACTTTTATACCTCACTGTTTGTCTATCATTATTTTATATATTTTTTAATTTTCAAACTCATTTTCAACTACACATCCTCACAATAAAATATTTTGCATGTAAATTTAAAATTTTTCATACTTTTTAACCTCATATTCTTTGAAAATTCACTATTTCAAAACTCATTTTCCTTCAATAATGATAGACAAACGAATAATATATATGAGGTTACAAATATATGTAGCCCCTGTTCGGGCTCCATTAAAATTAGTATTTATAGGAAAATATATTTTGAAAATAGTGATTTTTATCTTTAAAAAAAATTTGTGGTAAAAAAGGAAAGAAAAGTTTTGAGTTTACCTATAATATTATTTTATTAAAGAATACATACCTGAAAAAGAAGAAGTAGAAAAATACATTAAAATTAAAATGGAGCCCAATCAAGAACATAATATGTTAGGTATTAAAAAATAAAATATTAATTACACATCATGTATATAATTGAACACTTAAATTTTAAATAATATAATTTGCAAATTAAAATAATTGTTCAGTGATAATTTATTTAAAATATTATTTTAAAATAAAAACATCTATGAAAGAAAAATATATGAATCTCATAGAATTGTGCTATATACAAAATTATTAACATTTAATCGAAAAAATACATAGTTTGTATAAAAGTATGTCAAACAATCTTCCTTGTGTCTGGCGGGAGGCCCCAGAGAACCATTCGAACTAAATTATAGAAGCTCAAAATTTGAGTTTCCTCCAAAAAAGTTGTTTTTGTTCAATAAATACTTAATGAATTTAATTAAATATTAATAATTTGAACGAGAATTCTTTCCTTTTTTTCCCCCTTTCAATTAGTATTTTTGGGCTTCAAAAAAGTCCTCCTAAACGCTCACTGGGGCTCTGTTTGAGTCCCATTTTGGAGAAAATATATTTTAAAAAAAAAAATGTGTAGTTAAAATGTGGAAAAATGTTTTGAATTTATGTGAAAATTTATTTTATTGATAGAATGTGTGACTGAAAATGAGTTCGAAAAAACTCAAACATAAGCTAAATAAAAGAGCCTACCTTCAGTGGTGGATCTAGGTAGTGGCAAGCTAGGGCGGCCGTCCTAGTTGGATCCGCCAGAAGCCATTTTTTTTTTGGCTAACAATAAATTAAGATTTTAGGTTATATTACTAATAATTCTTTTTTCTTCCAAATTCTCCTTTCAGTTGAAGTGGTTAAAACTTGTATTTACATTTTGCAAGCCCCGATTTCGATTCTTTTCACAACCAATTCATTGTGCAATTTTTTTAGTTTACAACAACTATCAAAATTAATGCAATAGGAACATGTTGGATAAGATTCGAACCTTGAACCCCTATTATAATCATTGAAAGCCTAACCATTGTGGCATCTATTGCTTTTAACATTTAATTTAACAAAATAATATATATTACATTTATTGAGTTTGATAAAATTATAAAAATTCAAAATCATGCTCTTCTTTTAAATTAGCCCCTGTTTGATCCTCATTAAATTACATTTCACTATATGCTATTTTTCTCTCTCCTATTTTCAACCACACAATCTTTCATAAAATAATATTACACGTAAATCAAAAAAATTTCCTTCTTTTTCAACCACTCATTTTTTCAACAAAACACTATTCCCCACATTTTTATTACCAAAAATGGGGGCCAAACGGAGGCTTATACGATACTTGACAACAATGTCATTTGGTGAATATACGTTTTATTCTTATAACAGAATTATATATGTTCAATATGAACAAAATAATTGTTATATTTAAATTCTAGGTCTTGTTTTATTTTCATTTTTTTTTCAAAACACATTTTTATCTATCTTATTTTTAAAAATACATTTTTCAATAAAATAATATTACATGCAAATTAAAAACATTTTTCTTTTTTCTTTTACCTCACGTTTTCCATGAAATCATTATTTCAAAATGAATTTTTTGTTAAAAAAAAAGATATTAAACGAGCTCTTAATACTTTATTGCGGCTGACAATCAACGACCGCCCATGCTGACTCAAAATCCTAGATTCGTTACTGCCTATCTCTAGAAGATTTTTGAAAATCTTAAACCACATTTAGATAGTATTGTGAAAAGAATTAAGACATATGGATACAAAGTTATGTTTTCTTTGTATCCGCATGTCTTGATTCATTTTGAATTCTTAGTTTTGGGTCATTAATCTTATTGTTAGTACATATTTTCTTTTTATTTGCCCAAGTATGTCCAGATTAATTGTATGAGTCATTTGATTTGTTTTGCTTGGGTATGCACAGTGTACTTGTACATAATTTTTGATCATTAGAATTTTACATTTATCAAGTAGGAAAAAAAGGAACCTACCTCAAACTGTGTGTTTAGTAGGATGAGCTCAAGTGTTTGCACAAGATAATGGTATTTGATTAACTGGCAAATGAAGCGGCCATTCATTCTATTAAGTTATCCTTGTGCACCCTACCGTGGGGTGCCCAAGACTGAAACTTCCAGCACTCTTTTACTTCACGATGTCCCAACTTTTGCCTATAACCTTCTAAGGCAAGACTCAGCCCCGACAACGTCCACTTTTACTCTCATTCACGTGCATTGCTGCAAACTTTAAAGTTGTGGTCATTTCATTCACTTTGAAGAAACAAAAACAGAAGCATTGTCTTCCAAACATTATCGAATTCACACATTGATGACATGTTTAATAAGGTGGAATTACAAAATCTATTTATTGTGATTGTCAGAGTTTTCACTGTAGGTCAAAAAGTAAATTGTATTTGAGAATGAGAGTTTCATCAATTACTAATATAACAGCATGCAAGGAAGTAAAGATGAACCGGTTTGGAGGAATAAATAATATGAATTGGAAGGTGAGTTTATGATATTCTCTCTCTAACTTTGAGTTCCAATTCTTTCATAGAAAGTTATTTAGCTTCGCATGGCCATTAGGAGGAATGCTTGTCAGCTAGATCAGATTGGAAAAGTCATTATCACTATCAATTTGAGCCAATTGAATCATTCGTAATAATCTCAACAATTCTTGAATGTCACGAATAAGATTAACTTTTAATGCTTAAAAGATATATAATTGCACGAGCTCAAATAGAGAGAGAGAGAGAGAGAGAGAGAGAGAAAAAACTTATTATTGTAATAATCTTATATCTATTTCCAAGTTTAGGGTAACCCTAAGGTGAGAACAACCTTAACTCGCACAAAAATTAAAGAAAATGGAAAGTAGCCAAGAATTCCCAAGCAATTTAGATTTCGAAAATGTTGACTTGTAAATGATTGTGTTGGGCCCAACCAATCGGCTGATTGTCTGAGCCCATAAATCCACTAATTTAATAATGGGCCAGGGCATTGGTCCACTGACTCCACTCCTCCCACTTCTGTTATATTCAAAATATCTTTTATTAATTACCTTTTTAAACAATTAATTAATCACCGTCACTTAATCACGTTTAGGTTGACTCCTTTGGAGTTTAGAGAATTGTAACTCAATAATTAATTAATTATTACTTGTAGGCCCCATATTTGCTTTATGCAGGCAACATTATCCTTCTCATTTCTCCAATGTTAAAAAAAAATCTAATGTACACGGGGTGGGTCAACTCGACCCATTTCTCATTTTTCTACGTGTGAATATACGTTCCAACCGTCAACTCGTATTAATTCTCATGATATATTGAGTTGATTATCCATTTAAAGACAGCACGCATATTGTGTACCGTTGAACTAATCGATAAACTTGTACTGAATTGATTGAATTTTCATATCGAATTTTAATCAAGTATTTTAAATTTAGGTTGTATAATCCGTTCTAAAATAATTATATAAGTTTTAATTAAGTTGAAGATTGAATTTTCCGTGCTAGTATGACATGAATTTTTTGAGTTATGACATGATTTTCGAAATTATTTTTTTGACATTCTTTGAAATAGAATTATCAAATAAAAATAAAAAGAGATTAATAGAGTTCGAAAATACAAAAATCTACAAAAGAAAAAAAAAAGAAGAGAATAAATGGCCCTAAAACGTGACATCAGATGCGTCATAGTAAAATCTGTCGCAAAAATAGCACTCTGTCTCTTTTTCGTATGTTTTTAATCCAAAAAAAAAAAAAAAATAAATAAATAAATAAATAAATAGAAAAACAAAAGCAATTACTTTCTCTCACTACCTGCTTTGCCCCCCTATTTTTATCTTCCACACGACCACACAGCACGCACACTCTCTCCCTCTCTTAAAGCAAAAGGTCACTCTTCACCCTCCACACTCTCTCACATCCATAAATTTGTTGTCTACCGAACAAGAAAAAAAGTAATTCTGTTAAGAATTTATGCTTTTCTTTTATAATGAATCGGCTCTCTTCGAGATCTCACTTTCGCCATTAATAAAATTAAATATAATATATAGCTCACTCTTCTCTCTCTAGGCGCTGCTTCCTTTTCAGTTCTGGTAAGTAAGTATTTTCTCGCTTCATTTGCATTTTATTATTATGCTTCTGTTAATTCGTAGAAACAATTTTTTGAATGTTATGATTTGGCATTCAGTATTGAGTTGGATGCTTCAGTAACTGTTTTCTGTTCTGTCGGTGGCTTTGGATTTTTAATCTAGTATAGTGTTTTTGAAGCTAGATCTGATATTCTGAGGTTTGTTTAGTGTTTGTTAGTATTTTGACTCGATTTCTGTTTCTAATAAATATCTAGATCGTTCGATTTGATTTTTGAATGTGAGGAAAGAATTCCTGCCTAGTTTATTTAATAAGAATGTTTATATTTTTGGTGTGGTTTTTTGGTTATTTCTAATTCATATATAATGTTAGTTAAATTAAATTTTATATCTCAAAGCAGTCAAGTATATTACGTGGTATTTATCCGTCAGTAAACTTATTTTTACATAATGTTTGCACTCGTATTCCTTGTTTATCGAGAAGTTATGGAATTTTGTTACTGATATGTGTAGCAGGTCTGCTTGAACGTTGTGAATGTAAAATTTGAATGCCCAAGGCTCAGTAAAACTTGGTCTGCATGCAAGTTAACTTTTGCATTTTTACTGAAGTCTAAATTTAAATAAATATGAAATCAATGCTAATGGATTATTCTTCTTTTCTTTGATCAGGTTATCACAAATTTGAAATAAACTGGTAACATGGACGGAGTAATAGATATCAGTGTGCCACTTGACCACATTGAGTTCTACATCTTTCCCGGCCAGAATAGGTTTGGACATTGATACTTCAAAATACTGCTTTTAAGAATGCATATCCCACCATAAAAGTGCTTTGCATCTCTCATTTATTTATTTATTTATTCTTTATATAGGTACGAGGCATGTGTATGCTATGACAACAAGATAGAAAAAGTATCATCTGGACTTCTGGAGCATCTGTTACAGCATTCAGCTGAAGTGAAAAATTTGCAGTCGAGAGGATCCACTGCCAATTTTAAACTTCAACCGCCTGAAAATATTTCTGATGCCAAATGGTTTACAAAATCAACATTGTTAAGGTTCAACAAGCATTTCTTGTTTTATGAATTAACCTTCTCAAATCCGTGTTACTGCAATTTCTATTTTATTTTAACTCAGATTTCTGCATATCATTGGTTTATCAAACATACTCAATATTACCAATACTGTGAAGAATGAAATTTCTCAGCTGGAAGAAGTTCGCAAATTTCAGCTTTCTTTATATGAAAAGGTAACATCTGTTTATACTCTTCTGTTAATTCTCCTTGTTGAATTAACCTCACATTTATTCTTTTCTCAGGGTACTCCAGAACTGCAAAAGAATGGTGAATCAGGTTATGGTAGAATTGCGTTATAGTCATTGTTATTTTTCTAGACTTTCCATGCGAAGGTGTTCTGACATGGCCTGCCCTGATTAATGGTTTTTATTTTTATTTATTTATTTATTTATTTTTGCTAATTTTCATAATGTGAAAAGTGTTTAGTTTTTAGCCTCCCATATTTTTCTCAACAAGCCATATGCTCTTATCAACCAAGAGATAGAAAAACTAATCACGACAGGGCTTAGTAAATGTAAAGATAAGGTGTATATTCAGTTCACATCATTCTGCAGCTGATACTGATTAATATTTATTAAAACTTTTGACAGACAACAGCTACTCTACTGGCACGGCATCCACCCCAAAAGTAATTTGTTATTCGTTACTTGGTTTTTGTCTTTGTCATTTAATATTCAATGAATTACTGTATGTATCTATTTTGCTGCTAATATTATGAAAGGTGTTTTGCAGATTGAAGGCAATGCTGAGCCATCAGATGCTTCCAAGTATGTCTGCTGACTCTTCAGTTACAACTTGATTAGGAAAAACTAACTTAAAAATCAGTAAATTTTTCCATTGTATCATCTCCTTAATCTGAACCGTTAATTGCTGGCAGGGATGAATTGCTGCAAGCAATGGAATTGAGAATAGCTGCATTGAGAGGAGAACTGGCTGCTGCTTTCGACCAAGCTGCTGGTTTTAGATATTCTGTTGAGGAGATCACTGATATAGAGAAGTTTTCTAATCATTTTGGATCAGTAGACTTGAGGTACCTCTGGTTATAGCTTAGGGTGCTCAATTCATGGTCACTTGTAAAGCATTGATTTCTTCCCCTGTTATAAGAGACACATTTTATACTGAGTGTCTATGAGTAACAGTTATTATGTGTTAATTCGTTTCAGGGATTCCTTGCACAAGTATGTTGAACTGAGACAAGGAAACCGGGCAGTTGATACCTATTCTGATAAACAGAACAATGGGAATGATGAAGTCAATGGAAAAGAAGGGAAAAATCATATCAAATCATCGTTTTCAGATACACCAGTGAAGTATGGTGTTTCTCCTGCAAAAGTTGCACTGATTGAGAGGAAAAGTTCAACAGAAAGTGAGGATTCTTCTTTCTCTAGTGAGGAAGACCAACCATTTGTGGAAAGAAGTCGGACTCTTATAAGATCTGCTTCACCTAGGAGGGCAGCATCTCCAATGCGGAGGGTCCAAATCGGACGATCTGGATCCCGGAGGTCTACTGCATTAACTATTAAGTCTCTGAATTATTTTCCAGCTAGAGAAAGGTCAGTTTTGCCTAAAGATCCAGATGCAGATAATAGTGATGAAGAAGCAAATGAGGAAGCTCCTAAAAAATCTGAGACTAATGTACGGAGAATGAGTGTGCAAGATGCAATCAATCTTTTTGAAAGCAAACAGATAGATCAAACAACGGATATTCAGAAGGCAAGGGCTTTATTAAGTGCTTCTGTTTGTGCAAATAAATCTGTACTGAGAAGATGGAGTAGTGCAGTGGGTGAAAGTTCTAGGTGTTCCCCAGATATGGATTCTGAAGATGCAGTTCACAGTAATTTGGAAAACGGGGAAATAAGTCATAGTTCACCAAAAGCCAAAACCATGCCTGGTGAGCCTCGTGGGGTAGATTTCGCAATGAAGTCACCTGAAAAAGGGGCATGTACTGCGCCTGATGTGCAAGAAGAGTCTCTTCCCTCACAATTGACACAGGTTAGTGAAAAATTAACTGCCTCAGCTGAATGGAGTCGTCAAAAGGAAGCAGAACTGAATCAGTTGCTGATGAAGATGGTGGAAACTAAGCCTGTAAAATATCGGAATGTGGCACCTGACAACAGTATATCTGAAAGGTTGCCCAATAAGCAGAGAGGTGGTCAGTACAATCATTACAAGGAGAAGAGAGATGAAAAACTTCGAGGAGAAACTAATAGAAAGCGAGTTGAGAAAGAAAAACAATTTTGTGCAATGAAAAATATTCTTGATTCAAGAAAGGCTAAAATGACCTCTCCTGTGGTGAGTCAGGCTATTAAACGAAATAATGTAAAGAAAGTCCAAGAATCAAAAAAAAATCTGTCTCAATCTGCATATCGTAATGCAGAAAGCACAAATTCTAATCTCGTGATGAAAGCTGTCTCAAAATCGTCATCTTTGCCTGCCACACGTAAGTCATGGCCATCAGCACCTTCCCCAAGAGCTCCTGGTACATTGCCTGCTAAAATCCCTGCAGGAGCAACTTCCACTGCTACCACACCAACACGTAGAAGATCACAGCCAGCATCACCAGTTTTGCGATCTACTCTTAAAGTGGAAGCATCACAACCAAAATCTAAGCCTGTAAAACCAAATCAGAATGACACTAAGAAGAGCGGTAGAAGTGTGCCTGAGAAGAATCAGCAGACGTTAACAAAAATGAGCCGAAAACCAAAAAGCAAAGTTCAGTATGCCATTGAAGATCCTATTTCCTCCGCAAAACCTAGTTCATACAGCAAAGTAGCCAAGAAGAGCAGTGTGGATCCACTGGAATCAAAGCCTTTTCTTCGCAAAGGCTCTAGGACTATATCCAGTTCTAATCCAGCAGGGAAGACGAAAACATCTACTCAGTCGAAGGAAACATCGTGGAACTCTGCAGATCTAATTGCAGATGGGGAAAAGGAAGTGGGTTCTAACTCTTCTGATGCAGTCGTTCAGCAGCAAGAGATGGAAAGTGAACAGTTGAGAGTTCCTGCAGATATGGATTCTGAAACCCCGGCAAGCCTACTTAAGTGTGAAGACACAGAGAGCTCCACTGAAGTTACACTTGCTAATTACAATAATAGCTTTGACAGGATGGTAGAGCCTGAAACAAAAGCTGAGGCTGAAGAAGAATCAACGATCTCCCCTACAGCTTCGGTGAAAATGGAAGAGCTTGATGATATACCCATCACCTCTGGTGACGGTATTTGTCAAATTGAATCCCCAGTCTATTTAGAACCAATTAGAGCATCAAATCCATGTGTTCGTCATTCTCTATCACAAATGCTGCTTGAGGAGAGCGGTGAACCTGATATCTCTGACTGGGGAAATGCTGAAAACCCGCCAGCAATGATATACCATAAAGATGTGCCCAAAGGATTCAAGAGGCTCTTAAAGTTTGCTCGAAAGAGTAAAACTGATGCAAATTCAACTGGTTGGTCTAGTCCGTCTGTCTTTTCCGAAGGAGAGGATGAGACAGAGTATCCCAAATTTGCCAGCAAGAGAAGTGCTGAAAATCTCATAAAGAAGGCAGCTCTTCACTCGAAGAACAATGGGCATCACGAAACCTATGAGAAACATTCAGCGGATTATGTACATCTTGGTAAGTTCTCTTAATCCTTTTTCTGTTAGAAATTAATAGATTCATTTTGAAGTGCAAATCATCAATTCCCTCCCATTTGTGCAAGCATAGTTAGAGAAAGAATAAAAGAATAACTAATTTTGTTGAAACCACCTCGTAGAAAAGCTTAAGCTGCTGTAGAAGAATTAAATTTATTTGTTTATTTTTGTCTTCACCACCTCTTCACATGTGGACCAAATTCAAATTTTAATCAAAGGACTCACATATGTAACTTTCCTAATTATGTTCTTTAATATTATGTTGAACTACCTCGTAAAAAGTTTAAGAGGGTGTTTGAGAGACATTTTCATGTAAAAATGTATTTTTGAATAGTAAATTGATGGAAAATGTGTGGTTGAAAAATAAGAAAAAGTTTTTGATTTACGTGTAATATTATTTTAATAAAGAATATATGGTTGAAATGAAGAGAGAGAAAAATGCATTTTGAAAAAAATGGGTACCCAACGGGGCCTAAGTTGTTAGAGAGAGTATATTTATTTTGACAAATAGATTGCAGGAGAGATGCGAAAATGAACCACTTATAATTAAAACTATTACACTCTACTCTAGTGATTATCATAGTCTCATTTCACTCATTTGCTGGTATGGATCCACATCCAGATGCTGATAGGGTGGGGTTTTTTTTTTTTTTTTTTTTTTTTTTTTTTTTTTTTTTTTTTTTTTTTTTTTTTTTTTTTTTTTTTTTTTTGAATCTCAGCTCAATCAAATGAAAGCAAATACAGTGCTCCAAGCTTGACTCAACAGTTACAGGAAGGTCATGTCTCAGCATCTGTGACAACAACAAAAGGTTAATTCGGTTTATTGTTTAATTTTGTTACTTTCACGGCATTGTGATACAGCATTCTAATTTTTTTATTTTTTGAATTTCAATGTTTGTCTTTCAGCAACTAGGTCGTTCTTTTCTCTTTCGGCCTTTAAGGGAAACAAATAGAAAAAGAAGCTCAAACAACTAATTTATACAGAATTTGGAAAGTGGCCAACTACTTGGATTGATCTAGTGCTGTTTCTGTTTTGGCCAGAAGTCATTGTTCAAATTCACGAGATTATCCTTCTGTCTGCTGTATGCTGTGATGAAATTGTTGTACTTGTAGATTTAGTATTTAACATTAAAGAGTAACTTCAATGAAATGTGTAAATTGATTATTCTGTGTGATAGATAAATGTGTAAATTTTAGCAATTTCCGTAGATCATAAATCACACCAAATTTGTGTTACATATTTATTTATTTATTTATTATTTTTTTGTTTGTATTTATATGGTTACTCTTTTCTTGCTTCTATGCTAACTGCTGCTAATATTGTTACTAGTTTGTAGTTTTGTATGTTTGGTGCGTAGGACCTTAGACAATATTTAAAATGTATTCATGTCGTTTATTTAACAGTTTAAGCTTTTAATGTAGGGTTGGCATTCAAATTCTCTTTTCTAACGTTTTCTTATTAATTTCTAATCAATGGGCTCTTTCATTAATTAAGGATATTAATGAGTAACAGTAAATTTTTCAGTTCAATAAAAACTGAAACCTTACTAATGCTTATAAAACGTTTCTAAATTCTCCAACATTTTTTGTTTTTCAAATAGTCACAAATCATCTTTCCTAAATTAAAATGACGACACTCAGATTCTTGTCTATGACCCTTGCTCTTGTTGCATTTTCAGCACATCTAGCACTAGCCCTTGAATACCAAAAACCACCCTCTCATGTGGCGGAGGCACCATCTTCAACTGGGTATACTCTGCCTTCAGAGCCCTACACCGATTTTGATGCCTTTGTAGACACGTGTCTGAACATGATATCGATTGAGTGCGAAAGCGAAATCATCAACAGCATCTTGATTAAGTACAGTGTCACCGATAAGTGCTGCCTTTGGTTGGTTGCTGCGGGGCCGCGCTGCAACGAAGCGATCTCTGAATTTATTCTTGCAGCAATACCGGATTTAAAAGGAAGCGATATGACACATTTTATGAATAGAAGTGTTGAAACATGGGACCGATGTGTTTCGATCACAAATATTGAAGCCTCTTCTCCATTGCCACCGATTGATTATAACTAATTTTTCTCTTCATTTATAGTGAACAAGAATAAAAAATACAAAGGGATTCTAAAATTTGAAGCACAGTTTAAAATCGAATGAAAACTTTTAATCTTACAATTCCGTGTCTTATTGTTGAATTTTCATCCGTTGTTGGATATTAGGCTTCAACGATACATTGAAGAAGCTGAAACTACAAAAATTCTGCACTCTGATCGCATCATATAAGAAAAGATGACAGACCAATATTATGAATGAAAGGAACACAATTGAATAGAAATTATGGAGTATAAATTAGACTCATTCCGTATTTTTTTCTTGTGTTTTTTTTTTTGAACGGCACAGCTACACACATATATACAACTCGTTGTAACAAACCTATACAAGTGTCAAGCCAAACCCAAGTTTGATAACTTACACAAATCGAATCCTAATAATCTGTTGAGTATTCAACAATATAATACGTCTTGGATCAAAGTATCCACATTTTTTTGCTTAAGTTCTCCGATGGTTTTGTAGTTTCTTCACGGCAGTTTGGCATTTCTTGCTATTTTTGGATGAATTCTGCTATATTTCAATCTTAATAGTGACTATGCGTCCTTATATGGAAAATTTAGAGTAATATATATTCAAGGCTTACGATAACGAGAAGTATAACAAAAGTTAGAAGGTATCTTATAACTAATTTTTTCATTAAATGGCTACCAATTCTTCTACGATTAACTGGTCGAGATTTTATTAGAGTACGTTTGATTGCAATGATGAAATTTGGTGGAAAAAAATGAATTCCACAAAATTGAATTGTCTAGAATTTGTTTTACTAGAAATTGTCAATTAAATGTATTTGATTAGTATAATTTTTCACCTAAAAAATGTTGAAATTTTCTATATTTTGATATTCATTTGGCTTTATTTTTCATTAAAATTGTTAACTAAAGGGATAAAATTTGTTATAATTGTGGATAGAATTTGTTCCAATTCCCCCCCCCCCCCCCCCCCCAACGTACCAATGTTGTCTCTAATGAAGACTCAAAATTTATGTTGATTTTGATTGAACATTTAATGGATGATTATTTATGTTCATGAAAAATATAAGTTTTCCACTCCAATTCTTACTTTGAGTGTTTGATTGTTATTTTTTTCCATTGAAAATATTTTCTAACTTCTGAAAATATATCTAATTTTCCTTGTTTTTAAAAAAAATATTTTCTTTAGATGAATGTGGTTTTTATTTTCCTCAAAACAAGAAAAATATTTTCTTTTCTAGGTGATATTTGCCATATCAATCAAACAATATTTATAATAAATATATTTTAAACACTCTAGTCTAGGGTGATTTGACTTCAAGAAAATGGTCCAATACAATGGACTCCACGTTCAAAAGCTGAGGCAAGTAATTAGTTAATTTAGAACTTATGTTACTAAATTCTAAATTAATCATTCATAATGTCCTATTGACTCATCACGTGTATGGGTAATTGGTGAAGCACACAAGTTAATGAAGTAGTCAGGAAAAGACACATGCAGGCTGTAGTAATCCATATGCATTGATGCTATTATTAATCACAAGAAAGTCATTAACGCAAGATGCTTTGGCACTACTTATTTTAGAATAATGCTCTCCGAAAAAGTAAAAAAAAATGTATTCTAACTTCGTTGAACAATTAAAACTGAACGTCACTTACTTTTCTATACTTATACTTTAATCATTTATTAGGCCCCTAACTACGGCATAATTTACGACAAAATACGTATTTAGGAAAGCTCCTCCTGACCTCCAATTAATGGTACAAAAAGAAATAAAACTAAACACATCACATTCGCTTCCGAATGTAAGAGCTAAAGAAACTAGAGGCGGGCAAAAAAAAAAAAAAAAAAAATCTCGATTTTAATAGCTGGCTTAAAAAATCTAAAGGTGAAAAATACCTTGAAACAACAAACCAACCCAAATCGGAGTGGCTTTGAACTCATTCAATTTTATTTTCGAGTTGGATTTTTACCTAACATGAATAGTCGGCCAAGCGGTCGGGTAGGCACAAACCTGACAAAACTAGACTCACGCCCATCCTAAAAGGAACTACACTACATTCTCCCTAGTCGTATTCTTCGTCATCATATGTCAAGTGTAATATCTTTCTAATACCTAATCACTTTCAGATTCACTACTAGAAGAAAATTTTGTAAATTTGTTACGGTATCCCAAATTCACAAAGTCTATAGTTTCATTCCAATCTCCATGAGAATACCAAAAGTGTCATCAACATATTTTCTTGTACTTAGAAATATTGTGTCTCCACTCTAACCTTACATGCACCCATTGTCATGCACCCATTGTCTTTAGTGCGGACAGTGAAATAATCCCTTTTATTAGCTCTATACATTTTTCATATCCAATCAAAATCTTATTTGCTGATTGTATAGATTCAATGTGTCACTTATTATTGTAATTTGACAAATCATTCCAATTGCTCCAATCATCTCTTAGTCGTTTTATATATTAAACTCATACATATCTTGTTTGATTAATTAACTAAAGATAATGATCCACTAGTGCGATAATTTATATTAACCAATTCAAGACTTGAAGCGTGTGTATATATAGTGTAAAGAGAAAGAAAAACAATAGGGAGAAATCAAATAGAAGCCCAAGAATGAAAGCCCCTTATCTTTTTCTTCTTCTTTCTGCAGTTATACTTGTATTCAAGAAAGTTTCTGTATGGGTGAATCCATGGCGTCTACGGCGGAGACTTGAAAAGCAAGGAATCAGAGGACCAAGGCCATGTTTTCTGTATGGAAATGTACCTGAGATGCAGAGGATTCAAGCATCATCAATCAAGAATACTGGTGCAGAAAACACTGGATTTGTTGCACACGACTATACATCAACACTCTTCCCATATTTTGAACAATGGAGAAAACAATATGGTAAAGTACAATCTCTATTCTTTTTCATACTCATGCTAGTTAAGTCCCTTATATTCTTTCCTCCTCATTTGAAGAAATATGAAACAAATATGGCATCATCTATGGGTTTTTGTTTCATAGAAACTTCCATTTCTGCAACTTCTTAATTGTTCATTAAAAGCCGATTTGTCTATTATATTATTCAGTTCTAAACATGATCGATCAGTTTGAAAGACTCGAACTGTCCAAAACAACCTATTCTTGTCGGCTTTTAAGCAGGGCCCAAGTAAGGTCGAACATACTATCTTTCTAACACTTAATCTTTAAAGAAAAGACACTAGTGCTTGTTAAAGAAAAAGAAATGCATTATCTCATTCAAGTGCTAGTTATGTGCATTGAAAAGTGGCAGCTAGTTTGCACTTATTGAAAAGAGTAATGCCATGTAATATTACAATTGCTTAGCAATAGTCTAAGCGGCAATTAGGTCTATACCGTGTATGATCCCATCTTATTTATCCAATTCTAAAGCATCTACAACCTCTTGAAGTTTAGCTCAATGTAATCAACTTGTGCATTTTTAGAGTAATGCTATTCGTAGTCGCTCATTGCAGTAGTTGCCCTACGTGGCATACACATGGCAGGTAATTATTTGATGCATTAACGTGGTAGCTTTTTTATTCATTAATGCATCAAATAACCATCTATCATGTGTATGCCACGTAGGGCGACTGCCGCAGTGAGCGACTGCAAATAGCATTATTCGAAATTTTAATAATGATTTGGTCTATTGTTGTTCCAATAATTGAGGATGTATTGTTGTAATAATATATTATTAAATTTTCCTGAATAATTGCTGCTGTAACATCTAGATGACATCTATTGTAGATACAATTATTGGAGAATATATAATAAACAAATTTCTTTGTAATAATATTGGTTAATAATTCTTGAAAAGTCCATAACCTGTAACTACAAATTTAAAATTAATTAATTAATTAATTAATTTTTTGTAAGTAGTATAGAATATAGATACATCTGTATAATAGAATTCGATTCAACACAGAATTTATCATATTAAACGGATTATTGATCTCTCAAGAACCCCTTTTTTTTTTTTTTGATAGAATTCGATTCAAAACAGAATTTATCATATTAAACGGATTATTGATCTCTCAAGAACCCTTTTTTTTTTTCACAAAAAAAAAAAAAAAAGGAACCCATATATATATATTTTGTTATATTGATAGATTCATGATAAATTGTCAAGATACTTGCTTGATTGATAGTGCAAGTACACATACTATTTTTCAAGACAAAAAAATATTTTTCAAGACAAATAATACAAAATTATATATTGATGATGCACTTTATTCTAGCAAATCTAGAAGAAATTTGTTTAGTTTTAAAGATATCCGCTGCAATAGATATCATAGCCCATCTTTTCAGACAGATCTACACACATACAACTTGTTTCAAGTCAATCAAATCGAGACAACCCCACCCTTGAACTTCTGATGTGGGTGCCATTTGTGCCATGGGCATCACACCTGTCTGACATGTCCAATATCCACAATTTTATCATATAAAGTGGTGCTTTTTCTGAGGTTATGTCACATGTCCGATTTTCATCCCATATTTAAACTTGTACAGTTGTAACCCATATCTCTACAGATTATAAACAAATTCCAAAAGTGGACAATACGGTAATCCCTTATTGAAAGCTCAAACTATAGTTTGGAACCCATCATAAGCAGTGCCTCGTCTAGTCTATTATTATCATACTAAATAGCATAACCCTGTTTGGCCAGGCTCGATAGGCACCCCATCTAGTATATTATTATCGTACTAAATAGCATAACACTGTTTGGCCAGGCTCGACAGACACCCCACCAATAAGGGGCCGACGTGTTTTTTTGGCCTGGCCTTGAGCATGGTCAAAAAGCAATCAAGAATGTTGAGAAGAGTAGGTCACATGTCATGTACAAATTTAACGGTTTCTTAGATTAATTTGAAGTCCTTGAACTTTTGTATAATTATTTTTTTCGTGTTCTTGACATGCATAATGTCTATATCGACCGATAAACTTAGGACCATCTTGATTTGAGATTTTTTTTCATGGGAGACAAAACAAATAAATTGAAATGTGTATAACAAACAAATTCACATGCATGTATTCAATAATGCAAGACCATAAGCAGTGTGTATGAGAATATTCATTGATTTTTGTACTTGGTGTGGGCCTCGTTAGACCGAATTCGATGGTACCATAAACCACGATTTTGGTACTAGATTTCTTTTTATTTTTAATACAATCTAATATTTAAGGAACTATAAGTGCACTTAAGAGATTTTCATGAATCGACGCAGGGCCAATTTACACATATTCAACTGGGAACAAGCAGCATTTGTATGTGAACCATCCAGAGCTAGTAAAGGAGATGAATCAAAGTATGTCTTTAGATTTAGGCAAGCCTTCATATGTCACAAAAAGACTAGCTCCCATGCTTGGGAATGGCATTTTGAGATCAAATGGTCATATTTGGGCCCAACAGAGAAAAATCGTTGCCCCAGAATTCTTCATGGATAAAGTTAAGGTAAATTTCATTTTTCTAGAATTTATCAATACTGATCATTTTTAGAAACTTTCTGGGCATATTTGATAACGTGAACGGATAGGACAAGTTTATCGTGTATTTTTTCAAAAAAAGAAAAAAATTATACTATTGAGTCGAATGTAAAAAAAGATCGAACCCCAACCTTGAGGGCTCCACCGCCCCGCCCCTGGAGCATCGTGAGAGGTAAATCGCAGGATGTGCCCCAACAGGCCAAGGAACAAGAGTTTGCCCGTACATTGGTGCCCACAAAGAGTCCAATTTCATATATCAGGAGTCAAACTCTCACACTCCGACTGCCAACAAGATTGAAACTACCTCACTCCTGTCATATTGAGTCGAATGTAACATGACGTTTACATCGTTTTTTGTGAATCTCTAATGAAAGTGTGATTCAAAAGCCCTCTATTGGAATGGCAGGGTATGGTTGGATTGATGTCGGAGTCAGCTAAAACATTAACTAGCAAATGGGAGGGATGCATAGAATCACAAGGTGGAATTATGGCAGAGATCAAAGCTGAAGAGGATTTAAGGAGTCTTTCAGGAGATGTAATTTCGAAAGCTTGTTTTGGGAGCTCGTATTTGAAAGGAAAAGATATTTTCTCAAAGCTTAGAGCACTTCAGAAAGCCATTTCTAACCAGAGCATTCTTTTCGGTTTCCATGCATTTGGGTACGTACAAAGTATTAGAACTTGGGTTCCATCATATATTTATTTCATCATTATTCTTTGCGCTCGTTAGAGTTCTAGTCAAATCAAATTGCTCATTTGAATTTAGCAACCCAATGACATATTTACTGTACATTTATTTCATCATGTAAAATTTATCCCTTCACACGAATATCTCCCTAAAATGAAGTGTATATATGTTGGAATAATCACCTCGTCTAGAAGCTTAACCTATTCGAGTGCACCATGGCAGGTTACTTCCAAGTGTGCAACAAAAGAAAGTCAAGAATTTGGAGAAAGAGATAGAGGTATTGATTTTGGAAGTAGTAAATGAAAGGGAAAGGGAATGCATGGAAACATCATCACTTGAAAAGGATCTACTGCAGTTAATCTTAGAGGGAGCCATAAATGATGTGGGCAAGGATTCATCCAAGAAATTCATAGTTGATAATTGCAAGAACATATATTTCGCGGGACACGAATCCACTGCTGTTGCTGCATCATGGTGCTTGATTCTTCTATCTTTGCATCCTGAATGGCAAGCTCGTATACGCAAAGAGATAGCTCAAGCATGTTCAGATAGTGAGCAGATTGACGCAGATTTGCTACCCAAGCTGAAAACGGTACGCACCCTCTATTTCCCTTCTGAATATTATATTATTGAGTACTGTAGAGTCAACCACGGACCGTTTAATTGTAGGTCACAATGGTAATTCAAGAAGTGCTGAGATTGTATCCACCGGCAGCATTTGTGTCAAGAGAGGCACTCCAAGAAACCCAAATAGGCCACATTGTTGTACCAAAAGGTGTATGCCTATGGACTTTGATCCCAACTCTTCATAGGGATCCAGAAATTTGGGGGCCAGATGCAAATGAGTTCAATCCTCAAAGGTTTGCAAATGGGATTTTAAAAGCATGCAAAGTTCCACAAGTTTATATTCCATTTGGATTAGGGCCTAGGCTTTGTTTGGGCAGAAATTTTGCAATGGTTCAGTTGAAGATTGTCATTTCACTTATCATTTCCAACTTCAACATTTCTTTGTCTCCCAAATATAAGCATTCTCCTGCCTATAGAATGATTGTAGAGCCTGGTCATGGTGTGAATTTACTCATTCAAAGATGTTCTAAGTAGGGTTTAATCACATTTCGTCATTGGTAGATGTAAAATTAGACACATTTTTCTTTAATCTTTGTTGTTTTATTCTATGTATAATACTTTTTATTACTCTTTAGTTTATAATGGATTCCATAATAAATGATACATATTGAAATGTCTTACAACATCATTTTTGTTGATATCGTCTATTATTTTGTTTGATATATGACAATAAAAATTCTTCTAACTTTGCTTTCAAGGACATGCTTGTAGACTATTGAATTAAAACTTGGAACTCTCACAAGTCTTTTTTCTAGTTGACTTGTGGTCAGGAGTTCCTAAACCGGCATAATGCGTCGTGCATGTTTAATGTTTTTTCTTCGGATGAATTATCAAATATTAAAATTACTTGTCATGAGATCCATCAAACTATTAAAAATTGCTATTACAAAATATGTTGAGAAAATGAAAATAACTCAATTTTAAAATGACGGATAAGATGCTAGGCCCTTGTTTGAACCCCATTCTCGACAAAAAGGAAAAAAGAAAAAAAAAAGATCATTTTTGAACAATGTATTGATAGTGTATTGATTGAAAAATATGTGATTAAAAAAATAAAAAAAAAGTTTTAAATTTGTATATATTATTATGTTAATGAAAATATGTGATTGAAATGAGATCAAATTAATATTAAAAAATATATTTTGATGAAAATAATGAGGCTCAATCAAGGGCTACATTTCAAATTCAATGGTCCAAAGTGTATATTATACCATGCTAGTTTCTAACTTTTCAAGCGTTACCACGCTGAATATTAATAAAAATATTAAAGAAATACTCAAAAGTCGAGAATTTCGACTCCGCCAATCTACAAATTTCTTCCTGTGGCTTTAAACAACAATTAAAAATGCGAACAGAATTTATGTATTCCCTCTTTGAAGGTTTAAAGAAACTGACAAAAATCTTTTACAAAGAATTTGAACCACTGCAAAGAAAATTGAATAAAGAAAAAGTGAACTATAGAAGGAATTTTGGTGGCGGAGGGGAAAAGGGCGACTCAAATGGCGGTTGCAAACGCCGCTCACGGTGGCTATTTTCCCTCCAAAATTCATTCTTTGCCACCACCGCTCAAAGTAACCGGCCAAATCAAACAGCCTTCGCCACCCCCACCGATATATATATCCACTAATCCATCCCACGTGAATCTGCATCATCTAAAAGACCTCTACACCTTCTGCAACCACTCCTGCCACCGCTTCCCTATCGTGGACGCCACGGGCAGAGTCGAGGCCGTTGATGCTGGCAAGCTCCGTACCGCCATTTTCCACAGCTCCGTCGTCGTTTCGGTCTTCACCAAGCCCGAATTTTTAACAACGCATTCTTCTCCAGTGGAAGTGTCAAATTTGATGGGCATTGGTGGAGACTGGATCAAAAGAGTGACGCCAGTGACGCCTGATAATGGGCAGTTGATAGGGTTTGGTCGCGCTGTTTCGGATTTTGGATTGACTGCTTCTATCTATGATGTCATGGTTAGAAATTCGAAGAACCCTTTCGATTATATTTATCATCTCTTGTATTGATCTCAATTGCTTCAGAAACTCAGTCAGTGTGGTTTTGATCTTAGTCAGTGTTAATCGGTCCTATATAATGCTTTGATTAAACATATGAGGGAAAGGGGAGAAATTAACGCTGATGGATTTGAAGAGACTAATAGTCATGTTTATTTTTATTTTTTTAAAGCTCACAAATCAAGTTTGTGATCACAAGTTTATTCTTTTTTGTTGTGATTTCTGATAAAGTTCATGTAATTTTTAAAGATAAAAATGTAAATGATATCACTGTTTGTCCCAACAGAAAGTTTTGGAATTTGTTAAAAAATTAACTAAAAATTGGTTAAGTGTAAAACTGGGAAAATGAAAAAGTGTGATTTCGTGTCAACTTCAGTCGAATGTTCGGACTTGATCCGATGGTCAAATTACAAAAGTAAATAGACCAATTTATTCTAGTTGTCGAGTAGATCGTCGTGGTATATTTGAAATCTCGAAACCAATTCCGGATAAATGAGAAATTGCGATCTAAAGTTGGAAGAATGAAGTGTTGCAACTTTTCGAAAGGATGCAAGTTTGAAATGAAGTGTTGCAATTGTCCATGAAAAATGCTAGATTTGGGGTGTGTTCCTTCACCTACAACCCTTCATTTTCTATATATAGGACCCCTTGAATATGTATTTGTCATTTCAATTCATTCCATAATTCCATAATATTCGTTTCATATTAAATAAAACACTTTGTAGAAGTGATTATCTTTTACATCAAAATCATTGTTATGGTAAAGAGGGAATTTCGTTTGAGTTCGTTGGTCGAAGCTATTTGGAGTGCTCCTATGACTTGACATGGTCGTTGTATCTTGGGAGATGATTGTCGAAAAATCGTTAGCACCGATGCGGGATAAATTCATCTTAAGGAAAGAGTTCGATAAGAAGAATCACATGTTTTAATTCAAGAATGGGAATAGTCAGATTCAATAATGATTGGTTAGTTTCTCAAAATACATTTCGGTAAGTCGAAACCTTGTTTCGATTTTATGAACGTGTAAGTTACGTTTTGTGAATATAATATGCACATTTGAATCGGTGTATTCCGAACAATTTTAAGATAAATTTTGAATCTTTTTCCCGTGCGTTTTATATTCACATTTCCAGAATTGTATATGCTCGACATTCCATTTATTCCATACAATATAATATGCATACTGTAAAGTGTGCAAATTGAGTTTGTGCATCCATATTGATGGTATTATAATATTGCATGTTCAAAGCAGTTTCATTTTGTCGAAATTATTATGTCAACACTGGCAGTTTATTTGCGGGCACTTGTAATCCAAGGGGTATATGCTAAGTTGCCTAAGGGATAATCTCGTTAATTGTTTATTGAATGAAAATACACACCCTTTCATATATTGAAACCCAGTTACATGCATGGTTTGACAATGGAAATTGTGGTAGGAAAATAAGTTTATTTTACATATTCCAACTGGGTTTTGTCCAAAATTATATTCCATTTGCCAAATTAAAGTCTCCAAATGAATAAATGAATGCACGTATATGCATGATTGTTAAAACAGTTTAGTAATTTGTGAAATGGTGTGACCTTTTTGGAATTATGTAGCATGAATTTATTTGTCATATGGTTTGCGGTTATCTATTTCTTCTATGAAGGGGCATGAATATGTACATGCCAATCATTATGTTAACTGCCTAAAATTCTGATGCTTATTTTTTCTTTGTTGAATGTGTTTGGTTAACTTATGCCACCTTTGGAGAAACTACAGATAAGTTCTATATGGATTTGTATAATTCATTTAATTCAATAATTGACATCCTTGTCTGCCATGGAAGGAATAACTTGAAATTAATAAATTTTTAAGATCTGATTACATTTACGAGACAATTAATATATGATTTTCCTGACAACTGTTGGTTGCATTAGTCATAATTAATATATGCATGTGGTTCCAAAATTGAATCAGTTCATGCAAGTTTATATATGGTGTCTCAAATTGAATCGATGCCGACATTGAGAATATGTTTCCTCAAATGCATGATTTCTCATGAAAAGTCAGTGGTAATTGCCTACTTATGGTGGTTCCGATAACCGTTGCTTGTTATGGTAAATAAACACCATACATATATCTGCACATGGAAAGAAACCATTGGATTTTGTTTTACCTTTATGGAAAGTTGTTTGTTCAATTTATGTAAATATTCTAAATTACTTTAGAATCTAATTATATATTTCACATGCATTCTGTGGAAACTAAGGAAGGCAAATGTTAGAAGCATATGTCATTTCTGACAGTGATGATCTCAAATAACTTTGTGTAACAATCATTGAGGCCTTTTATGCAAAACTTGAAATTTCCATATTGTCTGTATATGGGATTTCTCATTGCTTACATGCATGTTGTATTTCGAGTAAATACTTATTTGCATTCTAAATCAGGGAATTGGAAATTGTAAATGTCATTGGAAACTTTAATAGAGAATTGTATTCATTCAATTCGAATCCATTACGTGGTGGTTATAATTGAGGTGCTTGCTTGTACAAAAGGTATGTATATATATTTTATATATATAATTAAATTGATGAGGATCAATTTAGATGAAAAGGTGCGTCATTTTATATGAAAAATCATGGCTTTTGATATAATTATTTTTCAATGGGTGTGTCTCTTCATAGAGATTAATCCAAGAGGTGTGTCCTTTTATAGGATTGTATCTTTTGAGAACACAACTTTTCAATCTATGGTTGATTCGTTTGTTCAAGTTTAAATATGGTAAATAAGGTGAATATGTACCTTATTATTTAACATGAAATGAAACTATCATGTGAAATGTCACAAATGTGATAAGTTACATATGTTTGGAGAAGTTGCAATTCTTGTAAATCAAGATGCTTAGCTATTTTCACTTTTGAAATTGATTTCAATCATGAAACCAATTAAGTTGGTATATGTTTTGAAAGTATTGTTGCTCCATGTAATGGCCTTGATTTAATTTGGATGATCAAAATTAATTAAATTGAAGTACATTATATGCAAGTTGATGACCACTACTTTGAAAGTATATAGACTTTCACAATGCACTCGATACGGATATTATAAATTGAACTATGAAAGAGTTGATGAACTCTAAGTTGAAGTATAACCCAAGAATGTGAAAGGGTTAAACTTAATGCTCGTGAACTTGAAAGTTCAAAACTTGTGGAAGCAACATTACTAGATTGCATATGTATTCCTTATTGAGGAATTGTGGGAGTAACTCAGTTTAACAGTTACGATTGCTTCTATCTTATAATCATAGAACGATACCTATGAAGGTGGAAAGATAGAAAACCCTTATACTAATTATAAGGATGATATATACTAAGTCTAAAGTGGATGAAATGGGTTGTAAAGCCGATTATGGCGTTTGTTTAGACATGCAAGAACAATTGGAATATATGAAAAATGTTCATAAAGTTCGAATGCACTGTAATGTTTCAATGATGATATTGAATACCCATCCACTTGTAAACATGGTTGACTAGTGTAATAATTAGATATAAATCCTCTAACAGTGTTGTTTGGAAATTGATAAAGTTTTAGATAAAGCTAATGAGGCATGTAGTTTCATGAGAGGATTTCTAGGTGGCGATAATTTGTATCTATCAAGTGAATCGATCATTGGCTAGCAATATTTGATAAGATACTAAGTCACATGTAATGGTAGGTCTAGACGTATAAGTCATAAACATAATATCATTAAACAGATAATCTCAATAATGCAAACTCGTGGTACCTTTAAAGAGATTTACTAAGAGAGATCAAGAATACTGCATATCGAAGGGAATGAGGTAAAGCCTTTTATGTTAGAGTTCTTGTAATAGTAACCCTACTTTGTTGACTGGAGATCTCAAGATTTTGGTTCAAAGGGACAACTAAATTATGAGAATTCCATGAAGCACTAAGGAAAATAGTTTCCTAACTCATTCCTATAATATTAAAGTGCTTTTTGTAGAGTTGTAAGAGGTTAAAATAATCTTTTAATGATTCATATATCTTGATTAAGTCAAATGGAGTAGGGCAGAATACTCTTAATAAGAGATCATCTATGTAAGTGTGAAGTGGGGCCGCTTCATTGAGAATTATTAAAGGCTTGAATTCTCTAAACACTTGCAGAATCAAGAAGGATTCATGGCCAAAATGAACCAAGTCATGAGAACCATGAACGGTTTAGGAAAGACATTTGTGTGAGTGTCGTTGTCTTGGCTTACATTAAAGGTTGAATGATTTAATACATCACGTTCACCAATTAGCCGAGTAAGTCCAATGTTATTTCACTACGGGAGGTTCTAGCCCAGAAGCTACTATCCCCGATGCAGTGACTTTCTGCTCTCTCTCTACTTGCATCACATCATAGCATTACATTTGCATACTCGAATTTTCATTCATGCGGGGGATTGTTGGAATTGGTTCAAAAATTAACCGAAAATTCATTAAGTGTAAAATTGGGAAAATGAAAATGTGTGACTTCGTGTCAACTTTGGTTGAATGTTCGGACTTGATCTGATGGTTAAATTACAAAAGTAAATAGATCAACTTATTCTACTTGTCGAGTAAATCGTCGTGGTATATTTGAAATCTTGAAACCAATTCCGTATGAATGAGAAATTTTGTCCAAAGTTGGAAGAATGAAGTGTTGCAATTTTCCATGAAAAATGCTGGATTTGGGGTGTGTCCCTTTACCCACAACCCTTCATCTTCTATATATATATGACCCCTTGGATGTGTATTTGTTATTCCAATTCATTACATAATTTCATATTATTCATTTCATGTTAAATAAAACACTTTGTAGAGGGGGAATTCCGTTTGAGTTCGTTGATCGAAACCATTTGGAGTGCTCCTATGGCTTGACGTGGTCGTTATATCTTGGGAGATGATTGTCGAAAAATCGTTAGCACCAATGAGGAACAAATTCATCTTAAGGAAAGAGTTCGATAAAAAGAATCACATGTTTTAATTCAAGAATGGGAATAATCAGATTTAATAATCATTGGTTAGTTTCTCACAATATATTTCGGTAAGTCGAAACCTTGTTTCGATTTCATGAACATGTAAGTTACGTTTTGTAAATATAATATGTACATTTGAATCGGTGTATTCCCCAACAAAAAGAACAATAGCAAATTAAGCATGGTTGTAAATAAATTTGAGGTCAGCTACTTAGATCCTTTTCTACCCATTGGTCATTGCTATATTACTGGAAGATTTTATCCTTAATAACTACAACATAAAACTCTCCCTCTTTGACTTGTTCTACCGAGATTGTGTCAATCTTGTGAATCGGAGCCTTTTTAGTTTTGATTTGTGATAAAGTTCATGTGCATTGTAATGATAACATTTGACTGAATATCATTGTTTCACACTAAAAGAAAAAAGAAAGAACAGGAATAGGTATTTAAAAGGAAGATGCATCAGTGAATGCCAAGATAGCATAATGCTTATGAGAAATTGTTTGTTTTGATGGATTATATTCTGCTTCACTTTGCTTTATTACATTTTCTGTGGATAGTTTTTGACAAGAAATATATCTGCTGTACAAGTTTATATAATAGTGTTTCAGTCTTGCAGGTTCTGCCTGCTCTACAAGGTAGAGGAATTGGCCGAATGATAGTTCAGAAAATTGTAAGGTTGGTCTCATTGATTAAAGATACTACTTATTAAAGTTGGAATTTCAAGAAAAAGGTTTATTGGCATGTTTAGCAAAATGGATGGGACAGTATTAAACAAGAAAAATAGGTTCATATCTTCAATGGGTTTCCAATCTTGTTCACTACTGCATGCCTAACATATTGATAGGTACACAACTGGTTGGTACTGGTTTCTTTATGCATTTGATATGCAAACATTATTAGGGTCTGATAATTTCCCTTATTGTCATAGAATGCTGACGAACAGAGACATATATGATATAGCTGCTCTCTGCTCCGATAACGAAAGGTAAACTTTTAACCTTTTTGGGAATGATGTGAAAGCCTAGCTAAGTTCATTGCACAAAAATGTATATCTGTTTGATGCTTATGGGAGATCTTGTGCATCTTGAGCGCCTTTTATAAGAGCTACTTTTCCGTCTTTGAAGTTATCCTGCGATGGTTTGACACCTGGGACCATTGATTGATTCTCTCACTGAGTGGAGTTCTTTGTTCCTAAAGGATACTGATAATATGACTAATAGAATCGTTGAGCACTATATTCCGACAGATCGACCTAGCTTTTTTCTACATTGTTTAACTCAGTTACTGGGGGATTTCAAAGATCACCTATGCAGGGCACATTTTGGGTGTTGGGTGCTTGTTTATTCTCTGTATATGTCTCATTCTTTATTTAAAAACCTAATTTGACTACCAAGATAGCTAATTAAAAGCAATGTGTCTCGTAGGCTATGATTTCGTTTTCAGTTTCCCTTTTACATCCATTGCCTTGAATTTGTAAAATGTATACACATTGGAAGTTATCATCTTTATCATCATTCATTATCTTAACAAATAAGCATGAACGTTTCGCTTGTCTTGCCTTCTTATCTTTGAATTCTCCACAGGTTATTCTTTAGAGCATGTGGATTTGGAGACGATATATTGGGATCGACCACAATGATGTACACAAGGAATTCTAGCTATTCCATTGATGAGGAGACATTAGCCATTGGTAGAAAGCAATTGTTAGTCCCCCCTCTAAGAAAACTCTTAAAATCATAATCCGTTCGCCAATCCTCATTATGATGCCATGTTGTGCTGCCATTGATTCCGTCCTTGAGCAACTTAAATGGAATATGATGCTTTCATTAGTATTGGGCCGATCAAAATTTCATCTTGAAATTTGGCGTGATCAAGATTTCACCTTCTAGGCAATCCAATGTGAAAGACATGGCAGTAAAAATGTTAGGCCTCTGTTAATAATTTTGCAATGTTTATGCACAAATTTGTGGAGAAGTTACTGTTCATGAGACATACTCTTTTAGCATGTATGTTATGGTGGACTGCATATTATTGGACAGTTGAAGAAAGAAAAACAAACCTAAAATTTGGTTAATTGCAATGTTGAGTTTATACAGTGAAACTTTGACTTTTCGCAATTGGATGTCTTTCCACCTGTGATGCATTTACGGGTCTTTCTATAGAAAAAGATGATAAAGCTTCTGTATAACACTACTCAATTAATAAATAATTTCCTTGGTATAAAGCAAGGTAGCCTTCTGATATTATGCAAAGTTGGAGACATCTCGTCTCCTTTATTGACTTCATCATCAAGAAAAGGACCTTCCATTGGACAAATTCTTCTACCACTACTTGTTCATCACACAGCTGAAGGTTGCCTGAGATGAGGAAAATATGGGTTGAGATGTGCTTAATTTCAGGTCGAGGACTCCGGCGCAAGTCGTCCCTTTTTAAGTTACAATGGTTGGCAGTTGGATGGATTGATCCTGGCAACCAGTATTGCACCAAGATTGATGCTTCAGGGAACAACAATCCAGTTTGGAAAACTAAGTTTTCATTTGCTGTAGACACTTCTGAACCAAACTTTCAAGATTTGGCCCTTCATGTTGAAGTTTACAGTAGAGAACCAATCTTTCTTAGGCAAAGTCTCCCGGGATCCGCAACTCTTGTTTTGAAAGAATTTATGGACAAATACATTGGTAGTTCTGAGGTTCCAAAGCCTGTTGAAGAAGTAGGGAGTTTTCAGCTGAGAAAAATTAACTCCAACAAACCTCAAGGATTTGTTGATATCTCAATCCTTATATCGGAGGAAAGGAAAGATCCCGGTCCATCCTCTCTAGATAATTCTTTCTAGTAACATTAATTTTTTTCTGAGCACTAAATGTATTATATCGAGTGTCTTTACAGGTGGACGGGAAGAGTTTAAACACATGTAATGATGGCAACAAGTCGGGTTCGGGGCGGGCGGGGACGAGGCAACTTTTTGCCCCGTTTAATTTTTATTTATTTTATATTTTGAAAGTTTCGAATTATGTTATTATTAGAGAATAAAATACAAATTTAAAATAAATTTTTGACGGATGAATTGTCTAAAAATAAAATTATTTTTAATTATTTTTTTACTTTTTCTTCATGGGGCGGGTTCGGGGTGGGGCGAGGACCACGATGGGGCGGGGCAAATTGCCATTACTAAACTCATGGATCACAGTGGTGAAATTAAGCTGGTTAGTCGATATGAACCCCAAGGTAATAACCAGCCACAACTGCCCCAGACACAACCCCAACAACTAGCAAGCCATCCACTGACAAATAGCCAATGTGTCCATCCAATGCCAATGCCTACAAATTATTCCCAGCCACCAAACTATCCACCGGTTGGTGGACCAAGCTATCAACCACCTCGAACGCCACCACTGCCGCCGCCTTCTAATGTTGGTTATGTACCGACGTTCCTCCCAAGAACAAGTAATCTGCCGCCTAGTTATGTAAATATGCCATCTTCTACAAGACCACCAGGAACAGGAAGGGGTGGGCCTGGTTTCGCAATGGGGGTAGGAGCAGGAGCATTAGCAGCTGGTGCTATGATATTCGGTGATGATTTCATGTCAGGATTTGATTTTTCTGGTGGCTTACAAGATGCTAGTCTTACCATATCAGCTAATCCTCCTTTTTAGAAATGCTATATCATTATTCATTCGTACTGTATCAGCGGCTGTAACTTTGAATGTTTCTTTGTTGAAAACTCTATATATGTAATTACATGTGCAAGAATATATAAACGTGAATCTTGGAAACATTACTTTCTCATAGGAACACAAAAATCACAAGATGCTCGAAATATACTCTTGTAAATTTACAGCTATATAAGTGTGCAATACTTACGGGCATAATTACAAACTTATGTCCATATACCGTATTGATGTTTCCATAGCCTCAATGATGATATTTTGTTTGTATCCTGAAGTCAGGAACTTATTCCTTGATGAAACCGTGCAGCCCTCAATATACGAGCTTCATTTCAAATCTTCAATCTTGGTTGAGATTCCTACATGGCCCTGTTACTGTGTTACATTTGATCAATACCAATATCAAGTTACCGCTTGCAGGTGTGCCTCTTCTGCAGCGCCAAATACTCTCAGAAGAAAATTTTCAACAATAGACACAAACTCAATTGCCTTTTCTTCTTGGGGTAAGTGACCACAATTCTTGATTATTTCAAGATAAGATCCCGGAATGGCACGTGAAAGTCTTTCAGAGTTCCATGGGGGGACAAGTCGATCACTATCACCGGTGACAATGAGAACTGGTACATTAAGTGAATCACCATAATTAGATTCTATGCATTCATATAGAAGGCTATTTAATTAAGGTTGAAAATGACTCAAATATATAACTAACTTAAAGTAATGCACCGGATACATACATTTGTTCCAAAACTAAAGCACACAATTAGCTCATCCATCAACACCCTCACCTCAACAAGACTTTTTCTTTCTCAATTTTCTTTTGCGAATCATACTAATATTCTTGTCTTTATTTTCTTTTCAAGTGCACAATTTCAATAGTACAAAAGATTGAAAGTGTTGTACAATATACCTGGACATGAGATTTTGCTCAGCCTTTCTGCCAGTGGTGGCTTCAGTTTAGATGCAGAATCTGTTAGCATTGCCAGAGTGTATTCCACAAGAGCCTTATCCCAGCCCTTGACCTTCAGTGGCTGAATGTTTCAAAATAATTTTAGCTTGTTGATCAACAGCTACTCATCATACATTCCAAAGTCATGAGACAGCAGTGAAATTGCTTTAAGAGAAATCACCTTTGTATAGCCTTGTAAAGTATGATCAGAAACTTGATTTGAATCGTACCATGCATTCCGTATGGCAGGTATACCAAACTTATTGATTATCATCCTTACCTGAAACCGTGAAGCAGGATAGCTTAATAGTTATTATATAAAGCATGATACATATGCTAAAATTAAAGCATGATGTGTATGAAAGATTTAGCAAAGAGAATGATGTTTTAGGATAGGAAATTTACAGAGGCATCAAGAATATTCTCGGCCAGTAAACAGTGCCTCAAGTCAGTGAAGATTCAAATAACTTAAACCTAGCAAATCAGGGAATTGAACAAAAATAAAATTCATTACCACCATCACACCAAATGCAGAGCGCAGAATTGCTGATAAAGCTTTCTTATACAGAGAGTTTATCATTCCTCCCATCCCTTTTACCATACTCACTATTGCCTCCGCAACATATTTAGTTAACTTTGACAAAAGGCTACAAATTCTGAGAAATGGATTATCAGGGTTATTTGAATCCAAGCTGCTCTCTTGGATCTGGTTGTCTCTGCCACCTTGCTTTTCTTTGACAACTTTCTGTGCAATGAATGGTGCAAGAATTGCAGGGGCAACAAGGATTAGAGCAGCAACACGTTCTGGTGCCTCAAAATATGCATCTACAGCTACTAGGGAACCAGCAGAGTGCCTGGCATTCCATTAGTTTAACAGGGTTAGACCAGGGCTAGACTTTTAAGAAAGGATAGGAAGAGAACCAGAATAGTTCATCAAATATTACCAACTTCAAGTGATTGTACAAGTACTAGTAATCTGTAAAATTGACTCTCAAGTACAAATCCAATATACAACTGGTCTAGGGTACTAATCCAATTAGTTTCGCTCTAGAACGAGAATAATTAATAGAGGTTCAAGTTTTCATAGGGAGTAAGATGAATAGTAGCTAAAATCTATCCATAATTTTACGTGCTTCATAGAAGAATTTACATGAAAAGAAATGAACATCAATATCAATTGTGGGTGTGGTGGGGGAGTCAAAATTTTGCAAAGGTTAGTAAATCTAAGAACATTCTTTACCATCAAGTGAGATACCAATATTTTTTTTTTCTTTGTAGTATGAATGAGAACAAAACGAAAGATACAAATAGCAACATACCCCACAAGGATGGCCTTCTCAGCTTTTAAAAAGTCGATGAAGTATAGAGTTGCCAACACAGAAAACATCGTCGAATATGGATTTAAAGTTCTGGTATCTTGGCTAACAGGAGATGAATGCTCAACAGGATTTATCCTAGATGTCAATCCAAATGCTGGTCTATCAAATGCAAGAACTTTTGAACCAACGACCTGTGCTAAAGGTTTCATCACTCGATTCCACGAAAAGACCGAGGCTCCAAAGCCATGTAACAAGATCATAGGGAAGTTAACCCTTTTAGCAAAGTGAGGGTATTGTGAACTGGATGCTTCTTCTACCATGTGAGGGTATTGCGATCTGGATGATTCTTCTACTGCATCACAAATCTTGTGGTGTAGTTGCACCCCATTGAACTCACAAAAAGAACTGTCAGGATCAGCTAGATGAGTTGGATCCTGTAATTCATCCTGATCTATGCCTGCTACACCTTGGGTTTTTTTCTTCCGTTTGACCAGGACTTGCTCTGGGAAAATCAAGGGAAGATTGTATAAACCGTCCAAATCTCTAGATACCAAAAAATTAGTGAAAGAAAATGAGTCCAAAGTTTTATAGTTGTTCGGAGAAACTCTCAAACATTAGTATCAGATGGAGCTGGTTAGATTCATACCTTTCAACAACAATACCATTTTCTCTTCCATCCTTTGTACAAAGATCGTACATTTCATTCTCAGGCAATCAGTAAAAATTATTTCAATAGAATATCAAAAATTAAGATATGGTAATGAGCACTCAAAAGAAAAGAATCTTGATATATAGTGAAAATTTGAAGGAAAACAGCAAATAGTTCGTTTAGACAACTCCAATTATGAAGAACGCTGAAAAGCTGCCCAAAGAATGAGGGGAAAATTTTAGAAGCAATATACAGAAAATCTTAAAATGAACCAAGCCCAATAAAATTCTAAACTAAGAACAGTACAAAGGATGTTTATGACTGGCTAAAACCCTCATACCCCCTAACCCGCAAGCCCAGTATACAGAATTTTGCTTAGCTCTTCATATTTCTGTCTATTCCTTTACACAGGTTATAAATAATTCACATATATGTCAACGGAAACCAGTATAATCTAACAAAGGATAACAAGATAGAGGCCTTTGAATTTTATGAAATTGTTACCATTCCATTCGGCGCCGGAGCCACTTAGGGAAGAAGCAGATGCAGCTTTGGTAAGAAAATCCAGCTTTAAAATGGGTTTCTTGAAATTGAAACTACAAGGAAAAGAAGAATTGTTCCATATTCTGCTCTTAGCTTCAGATTGAAGCCCAACAATTTTTTGTAATTTCGGGAGGCTAAGGAAAACAAACTTGTGATCATACACTCCAGAAATACACATATACATTATCTGCTCCTCAAAGAATCTAGTATATATTTTCGTATTAGTATAACAAGTAAATAAATTGAATACTGAAATTTGTGGGAGTTGAAATGAATGGGAGACCGAACAAGCTGAACAATTTATCCAATTAAAGAAGTATTGGCAATTTGTACTCCTAAAGTTTGTTTATTTCTCCTTTTGCACCTCAAAAATACAAATTTTGGCAATTGACATCCTAAAATGGATGACTCATTGGAAATTACTCTCCAAACGTAGCTCAATTGATATTTAAAAAAGTCCCTCTATCACACCTGGTGATTAACTATTTATTATCTATTACACCCCAAAATTGATAGAATCATTGATATTAATGTGCATTGTGCAAAATATTTTGTAATATTAGTTTGAAAATACATAAATTAAATACAAGCCCTTACGTTCAAAGTCAATCTTTAGTTTAAGATTAAAGAAAAAATTAAAAAATTGATATACTCACGTTCAATTATTGGAAGGAGAATAATTCCATTTAACGTCATTGGTATCAATATATGTGACATAAAATGACCAATTCAATTAAATATAAGGATATATCTGTTGATATTTAATTTGATGTTAAATACCACTACATAAGATTCCTCTTCGTAGGACACACTGAAATTCTCATATGAACCTTCTAGTGCGAAGATAGTCATTTCTATCGATATTTCATTTTCTTTATCTGAGTGTTAAAAGTCATTTTTTAATTGAAAAGACTCATAGTCTTTTTTGAGTGTTAGAAGATGAATCATATTTTCATTTTCCTATTTCTTACTAAACTTAAGATGAATAACAAATTGAAAATAGAGTGCAAGGACTATTATACCTTTATGAATTAAGCCAAGTGAAGGGCACGCTCCATTTGTCTGACAAAGGAGACGGTAGGTGACGATAAGGGCCTTCGCCGGAAGGAAAAGGTGGATATGAAGATATCAATGGCAAGTTTAGAAAGATAGCTCATGTTTCCACCAAGCAAGCAAAGGTTAGGGACCATTTTGCAATTTAGCCTTTAGTAAAGATCATAAGAGTTAAAGACTTTATAAACTGTTCATATAAATCTTGTTTGATTCTCGTTACTTTACTTTAATTTATTTCTTCTACTCGTTCTTAACTACACATTCATACAATAAAATATTGTACACATAAATATAAAAATTTTCCTTACATTTTAGCCACACATTCACCAAAAAATACTATTCAAAAGTATGTTTTTTTAAATTTTAAGCCACAAAACAGGGACATTGTAAATTTCAGACTTCCATCAATGTAGTCACCAATGAAGGTAGAAGTTTTTGTTATTTACAACTGAGAGAGGCTACACTCTAGATCACATACAATAGGGCGTGGATGGATATTATTTTGACAATATTTTGCTTGCGCTAGGTCCAGCCCATGTGAGCATTCTGTAGTTCCTCTACATACGGCAAAAATCTTTACAATTACAAGATCATAATAGATTACCTGTTGAATTGGGGCGTTGCATTATATGTACATTTACAAGATTCTCGTCACATTTGTACAGAACAAAGTTAGCCCTATCTAGGTCTAGTTTAGATTTTCAGAAAGCGAATATGTTCTTGCTGCACCATCGACCCTCCATTTACTGGATCGAAACTGCACCTGTAGAAACTGATAATCGTGAAAAGAAAGTAACACAATGAGATCAGTGAATATGATGAACTTCAAGTAGTTGTATTTCTAATGTGACTGCTGAAAAAGAGCATCACTGATGCCAAATAGTCGGAAATTTGTCAAGTAATATTTTAATGTGTTCAACTCTTGGACGGTCAGATATAAATGCAAAGCTTAAGTTACAAATGTCAAACTACTGTAATAAAAAAATGGAAGATGATGACAAAGTGCTCCTTACCTCCAATCCATGCCTACAATAATATTTGTGTTCTGAGAATCAAATGCTGTCATGAATTGGGTACATTCTGGCAAGTGAAACTGACGCCGGATGTAATAGGAGAATTATAAGAGAAGGGAAAAGGAAAGAGAAGAAGAGAAAGGAGGGGGAAGGAGAGAAGAAGAGGGAGAAGAGGAAGATGACATAGGGGACAAAATATCAAATTTTATTCATTCAAAGGTTGTTCACATAACTCCTTTATATAGGGTTGTAAAAGACTCTATTCTAAGTAGGAAATCATATCTATCTATTAAAGTATCACATCAAGGAAGAATTATTTTTTAGACAATTTTAACCTCCAACAATTCAATTATTTCAATAATAACTTATTTTTCATTTTTTGATATATAATAAATACTACATAATTATTGTCGTTTATGAAATTTGTGTTATTAATTCTTAATTAACTAACATTCACATTCATCTAGATTCAATGAATTTTTACTTGATGAATCCTAAATTATATGAATCTAGAATTATTATAGATTAATATATTCATATTCATGTGATGGGATCCAAGAAGCATAAGTATCAAAGTCAAGTCCAAAGTCGAGCCTGAGGAAAGATCCGTTGATAGTGGAGGGGCCGATGACGCGATCGAGGGCCAAGCACGTGAAAGAGGCGATGGGATTGCTCGTCAAAGCAGCGGTTGATGAAACAATGTTCGGGATGCAAAATGGAGTAAGTTTCGTGTTGGGGATGAAGGTCGAAGAGTATTGGATCAATGTGTTTAAAGTTGAAGAAAACGGAGCTGGAGCATTAAACCATGCGGCCGCACAGATCTAAAGTCCTGCGATCGCATACACCCACCAGAAGTCCCAAAGTCGCAGACCAATTGCACTATGCGACCGCATGCTCTAAAGCTATGCGGCCGCATAGGCCAAATCCGAGGCGAATTTTTTCAAATTTCGCGTTTTTTTCTTATTTTGATAGAATTTCATTATTAGTAGATTTTTACCATAATTAGGCTATTGTGGACGAATTTTGCATTATTCTTAGATATTTTTCCCAGTTTACTTAGGTTCTCTAAAATAGTATAAATATTTTATTCCTTATTGTAAAACATTACAACTCTCATATTATTGAATATTATTCGTGAGGCATTAATTGCTTTCTCTCATTCTTCATTGAACAACTTGTGAACTTATCAAGATTAATCTTGTCGCGTTAAATCAACCGAGTGAGATTCATTTAAATTGCGTAATCAAAAGGTCCGCATATTGTCGGCGATTCGGGTTGCTTGGTTCCAGTTTATTGGGTTTAATCCAAAACCTTGTTTTTGGCTTTCTTGGATTTGATTCTCAATTTGTTGTGGGTTTGGTAGTGATCGCGCTACGCGGGTTCGCATCAGTTGGTATCAGAGCTTAGACTCTAATTCAAGGTTATAACCCTTTTAAATTCTTGTTGAGTCTTTGTTTCTAGTTTTTCTTCGTTCTTTGCGTTCTTCTATCCAGTAAAATTCTTGAGTCTTTGATCTGAATTCTTTTCATCTAAAACTTCAAAAGTTTTTTTGGGCTCATTTAGAATCCAAAACAACTTCCGTTTCTTTTGTTGGTATCGTAGTTAAAGTCCGGGTCGCAAAAAAAATCGTACTGTTCATCGTACAGTAGCAGGAAAAAAAGTACCGTTCCCGTCCGTACTGTTCACGTCTACTGTTCAAAAATTATTTATTTATTTATTTGCTTGCAAATTAGTCCCTTATTTTCTTAAATTGTCTTTCTTAGTTCAAATCAATTCAAGAACCACTTTCTTGAATTTCAAAACTTCCAAATTCGAGTCCTTCTTTGTTTTGTAATCTCAATCACATTCGGTTTGGATTTCACGAGACTAATTCCTTGGTTGAGTTCCAATTTCTTTTTTGAAGCACGTAGTGAAAGCAACGAGCGATAAAAGGCAGAGTGGTAAAATCAATTGAGGGTAAAAGCCAAATTGAGTGAATTCCGAACGAACTTGGTGAGGTAGAAAAAAGTTAGATTATAGGATGTCTGACATGGAAGGAACACATTTTGGCAAGGACAATGATCAACTTAACATGATGGTGGAATCGATACTGCGGATGGAAAGGATGATGGGGGACGTGAGGGATCGGTTGGATCGATAGGATGTGCGGTTAGACAGGCTTAATCCAATACCTGCTAATCCTCAACGAGGAGCCAATAATGCACGACGGAATGGAAGGCGGGAAGTTAGGATAGATGATCAGGATGACTTTGAGGCTGACAGTGGATTCGATGAGGATTCACTTGTGGATGCGGAGGTTGGAAGGGTTAGGAATAGAGGCGTTAAGCAAGGTGTGAGAGGTAGGAATCTTGGTGGAGACAAGTGGGATGGTAATTTGGGAAATATTAATATGACCATTCCTTCTTTCAAATGGAGGAGTGATCTGGAGGCGTACTTAGAATGGGAGAAGAAGATTGAGTTGATATTCGATTGCCACAATTACTAGGGAGAGAAAAAGGTGAAAATTGCGGTTTTTGAGTTCTCCGACTATGCAATAACTTGGTGGGATCAAGTGGTGACGACGAGGCGGAGGATTGGGGCACAACCTATAAATACTTTAGAGGAGTTGAAGATGTTAATGTGAAAATGGTTTGTACCTAATCACTATTACCCGGAGCTTCATCAACGGTTACAAAATCTATATCAAGGCACTAGGAGCGTAGAGGATTACCATAAGGAGATTGAGATGCTTATGATTAGGGCAAACATGGAAGAGGATAGGAAAGCCACTATGGCTCGGTTTTTTAGGGGATTGAATAGGGACATTTCCAATGTAGTGGAATTGCAACATTATGTGGAGATTGAAGACATGCTACATGTGGCCATGAA